CTCATTTTAGAATTTAACTCAATACACAAAATTTAAAAATAGGAAACCTTAATTTTAAATTAATTTAAACTTAAGCTTTATTTAAGGTTTTATAAGTTTAAGACTTAAAACTTTTTTTTTAACAGGTCCTTTTCCTGTTAAAAACTTTTGCTTAAAGACTTTAAGTAAATCGTTTACTACTTGTTTACATAAAGTGAACTGCAGAGACATAGTGAAATAGAAATTATCAGTATGGATATTTAGCTTAACAAATTTCTTTTTTTTCCCATTTAGAAATTTTGATCAACTGACTTTATGAAGCCAATATATTTAATATATGTACAGCTGAGATTAAGGTTAGTTTAGGAATATATCTTATTAGTTGCAATTTTAATTAATAAATTTTTGATAAAAGTGAAGCTTTAGTGTAACAGTGTTATCAAAGCTCTATTAATAGTGGCATCTATAATAATTCGCGTGGTGTTGGCAGCCAGAACTAATAATCTTTATATTTCGGTTTTTTAAATAACAACAAATCTAATATAGGTCCTAAAATTTTTTTAAAAATATTATTTAAAAGCTCGATAATTTCTTAAATATGCTCAAGTACAGTTCAAGTACATGTCATTCCAAATTTAATAAAATATTTGAGCACAAAGTTACCAGAAAGGATATAAGAAAAAGAAAAATGCCGTAAAATGTTTACCGTAAAATATTTATAGATTTTTTAATAAAACTTCGAGCTTTGAACCCATAACAACAGAAATAATTAAAGCTTCTTTAATAGATGTTGGGACACAGTATTTTAGATCCAATAAAGTTTTAAACCGAATCTGGTGACGTCCTATTTTAATAGAAAAGGCAATTTACTCTGATATATACTAGTAATTTTGTGATATTTTCACATTATAATAACTATAATGAACTTTCCCTGTGTACTGTTAACGCTTACAACTAATATCAATACCTAATTATAATAATAAAAGGAAGTTTCTCAAAATTTCACAAAAGCATTACTATCAAATTTTTTAAATGATAGTTTACTAATAAAAAGCCACCAGGTCTACATATTCAATGTAAAATAATCAAAATTTTAAACATATAAACTGGCTAAAAAGTTTATTAATGAGAAGGAATTATATCAGAATCTCCAGCATCAGTAATTCCGAGTGTACAAATACTAAAATATTTACCACAAGCGTTCCCTAACTCTCTGTTAGTACCCGAAAAATGATGAACTTGCGTTTGAGACAACATTGCGTAATATTCCAATTCAGACTTTTTTAAAGGTGGACAGTTTGAAGAAATAATGACCAGCTTGGATTTTCCTATGAATGCATTAAAACCAAAAATAATATAAAAAATATTTATTATATAACTAAGGCTCCTTATATAACTTAAATCTAAGTAAGCTATTAAAGAACATAAAAAGTAAATAAGGGGAAGATGTATTACCAGATCGAAGAGAATTCAGAGTGGAATTGTACCCAATATTATATTTTCCACTTTTCATAACAAGAGCCAAACGAGCGTTGATTGAGTCGGCAGATTTATTAGTTTTCGGGGCCATTTCTACAGTATATTCCCAAGTTTCAAGAGTTCGCTTTTGAAAAATGCACTACTGGAAAGGAATTACAATTAAGAAGTAATAATAAAACAACCATGTGAAAGCGAATACACAAATTAAAGCAACTTCGAGAGGGTTATCCGTGCTTAAGAAATTACAGTTAGATTAGGTATTGGTAGTAGACCCCACATTATTGCCTTAAACAACCTACGACTTTATTCAAGTTACTGTTAACAACCATTGAACTATAATAAAATTAAGGAAACAATAGTTTTTGTGAAACAAGAGAAGAGATCTTAGAGATTTAGTCTTCTCCCTGACTTTTCACCACAACTAAGTTTTAATCTTTTACCTATTTTTTTCCGTATTATAATAACTTTATTTTGCACTCCCAATGAAGAGTTAGTGTCTCTGTTACATCTGAGTCTTTTGTCTTTTCTTCTTCTTTTTGTTTATTTTTCATGTTAACGTTGTTTTGTTTTACTAGCTTACTTTTTTATTTTACTACTCAAAAATTGTTTTAATTTTGGTTATCCATTTGTCGCAAGCATTTATTCGTAGCTGTTTAATTCTAAGAATATAATCGACGCACACCCAAATTGCACAATCGTTATCGGGGAGAGATTACCCAAATAAAAGGTGGAACGGGTGTGCTTTTTCCAAATATGTGTGGGACATATTCTATAATAAACTCAAAACAAATAAATTTTCTCTAAACTAGCCCCATCTACATAAACTTTCCAAGTATAAAAATTGTTTTTTTGCAAGGAAACTTAAAATTGACTTTATTTGCTTTGGTATATCTCCGATATACATATAATATATAGAATAATTACAGTTTTAGCGTAAATTATAAAGTTATAAACTTTAAGTTGAAGTTAACTTTACTGCTTGTTATGTAGATGATAAAATTTACTATTATGGTGTATTTTTTGAACGAGTAGTTATTAGATCTAGCTGTTTTTCTCTCCTGCACAGCTATACGGTTTTATTAATAAGCTATAAGGGTGGCTGCTACGTATTTTTTTTATAGGAAATTTGTAAAGAATAACCTACCTTTAAAATAACTTTAATCTTTTTCTGGTTTTCTTTTATTTATACGCCATAAATCCTGCTTTTTTAAATTATACTTTACCTTGCTGGTTTAATTCTTTTGGATGCAAATTTGCTATAAATTAAATACGAGATGGATTAGTAATGCGGACTTAGAACACCAACAACAGAGAAAGTGAGCAACCAAGTCATTTATCTATCCTTACAAAATTATAACCATTTTACGTTTATGTAGGTTTCCACTTAATCTTATTTAAATGAACATAGTTATTTTGGTTTCCTTTAAAAAGAGGCATGACAAAGTTAGTAATTGCCATATTGTATATAAAAATATTAATTAAGTTATTTCTTATGTTTATAAGATGAGTAATCGAGGGCTGCATATATTAACTAAAATCCAAGTAACTTTCATAGCGGAGTATCATAAGATAATATTTAGCTCTCCGATCGCATAGAGACAATGATTCTTTTCTCGGCCACCGGCGCAGGGCACCAACCTTAGTTCTTCGACCAGTTTAAAGCTAGTCTTGCTAAGGAAATGCAGCCCATCTCGCGCGGCTACTTTTCTTTTTATCCTATTGTCCTTATTTTTTGTAAAGTTGTTTAGGTTCTCCAAAAGAGTTCAGTATTATTACTAAATTTTTACAGTGCCTTTAGTTCTTGGAGGTCCACATAATTATATCACGTTTAAGTCTACAAAATATTTTATAATTATATTATATAACGTAATGTTATTATATTTATTATTCTTGAGAACCCCGGCCTGTAAAATCAACACCTGTTAAAACGTTCAAAATTATGTTTTCTTTAAAAAATTAGTTTGTTCTTAATTGGTTTATCTTTAGAAAATAATTTTAGTGTGGTTTTTCGTAACAAGAAACAACCAACAAGAGATACTATACACTACACAAAATAGTTTAAATTTAAATTAAATTACAACCTTGACCCACAAAACCACAACCCTACGCCAAAATGATTAACGAAATCACATATTAACATAACCAAACGGTCTTTAAATTATAATATAAGAAGAACGTGCAAGCAAGGAGAAGAAGCAGATAGCAGAGCTAAAATTTGGTTTACAAAAATTTACTTGTTAACGTTGCGCCTGATTCAGGACACATAATTAATTACCACTATAAAGTTAAATGGAAGAAAGTAATTGCTTTATGGTAGTTAGTTATTATTGAAAAGAGAGAATATGATAATTTTTTGATTTTAAAAATCAAGTAACCCTTTATTAATTTGGAAGCAAACCAAAACAACGCATATTTAAACAGCGATTTCGGGCTCCTTATATAATTTCTACGGATCGTTTTAAGAAACCCGAGCCAACTATTTTTAATTTTTAGAAAAAGAGGTGACCCGGATTTTGTTTAAAAGTCAATAATTTCTGGTTTTAAAAGTTAAGTAAAAACCGAATCATCACAAAAACTTTAAAAAACTTTTATAATAAAACATAAAATAATTTTTTTCAGATGCCATAGTTTTTGTAAACACAAGAGGTTGTTTTGCTTGTGCTTTTGTTATTCAAAAATCTGCCAAATATTTGTTTATAGTTTGTTAGAATACAATTTTACCGGGTAATGCCACTATATCAAAAAACTCGTATATCTTGCACCGGGCAGCATTACTAATGTAGTTCTAAATAATACTTGTACATGTGTTATTTACTAGTATAAACTATGAGCGCGGATTTCCCCCTACAGAAAACAGACGAGTTTACTGGTAGAAATGATACCTATGTCTGATGTATGATGGCTAGTTGAAAATCTTTTATGGCTATAAATATGTTTATTTTATTACCCTAATCAGCACTTCGTAAGCTTTAAAACTACTTCAACTTTTCAAGAAAAGAACAAAAATCTTGGAACTACTTTATTAAAAATTTTGCTATCTCATTAAAATTCTTTTATTGCTTAGCATTTAGTAAGATTTTTTTACTATTGCACGTAAAAGACTGAACACCTTTTAACGCGCCTATTCTTTATGTAAAATTAAATAGTAGTTAAATTTGCGAATTTTTTTCGATTCTACTTGTCGCTTAGCACTCAACAAATTCAATACAACTTTGACTTTTCAAAAAATTAACAGATATCGGTAACAATTTTACTAATTATATAAAGTACCCAACTTTGTTTTAAATTATGAAAAAATTTTGAAAATCTGCGAAATCCTTATATTGCTTAACATTCAGTAAGCTTCTACTTCCACTTTTCATAAAATAAACAAAATCTTTATATAATAATATAGTGAACTAATCTTTTGTTTAAAATTAATAATTATAAATTTGCAAATCTATATGGAATCCTTTTGTTGTTTAGAAGTCAATAAAATTTAATACTAATTCGACATTGCAAAAAATAAAAAAAACTAATCTTTATTTATAATTGAATTATACTTAAAATTTTGCAAATCTTTTTGATCCTTTTTTTTGTTGCTTAATAACGCGAAGAACATTAAAGCGGACAGTCTTCGAAAGTGGGCGGCACTGACCAACCACCACTTTAGCGCCAACAGCAATATCAATAAAGGCGGGTGACAAGTGGGCGGCCAAATTCGTATGCCTCTTTTCGTAGCGGTTGTACTTCGAAACATAATGAAGATAATCTCTTCGAATAATACAAGTCCGTTGCATTTTCAAAGACTGCAAAAAGTAATTAGTTATAACATAAAAAATTAAAGATAATTTAAATTGATAAAAAGCCTTAAAATTAAACGGAAATTATAAATAAAAAAAGGTTTTTACGAATCTCAAAGTATAAAGCGACTCGGTTATAAAAATATTATAAATATAAAAAAAAGTTCTAAAAAATATAAAATTAAAAATCTAAATTTTTGTTTTATAATTAAAAACGGAAAGAATGTATCAAACGAACCACCACCACGCCGCTAAGTATTCGACCCCGAATCGAAACGTTGCCAGTAAATGGGCACTTTTTATCGATATAGGTACCTTCAATGGCCTCTCTGGGCGCCTTAAAGCCCAAACCAACATCACGCACGAACCGCCCTTTAAAAGTCTTTTTGCCTGTAAACAAATTAATTGAAATAAAAGTAAAATAAAAAAATTTTTAAAAAAACAAAGAAAAAAATATAAAAGTTATAAAAAATATGAAAATATATAAATTATTATTTTCTTTTCTATAAATCAATTACTAAATATCATTAATATATTATTCTCAAGTAACTTTATTTTATTACTAATTATTTTTTCGTATAATTTATTATTTACACGTTATGTGTTATATCATTATTTATTACTATATAACGGATATAAAAAAAATAAAATAACTAAAAATGTAGCAAAATTATATTTTTAAAAAAATAAATTAGTGATAGAAATCATGAAATCAATATGATTTACAAAGTTAATAAAAAAATTAAACGCTTTAAGAAATATTAAATTATTTTTTAATGTAAATATGAAAATTTGTACTAATTAAAAATAAATTATTATTTCTATTTGTGATAATTAATTTTAAACTAAAAATTTTCTAATAAATTATAGTCAATATAAAATTATTATATAATAGATAATTAAAAAAATAAAAAAAGAAATGATAATAAGAAAATAAAATAAAAATAAAAAAAGGTAACAAAAAAAATACTTAAAAATATAAAAAATACGAAATTGAATATAATAAATTATTCTTTTTAAAAAAATTAAAAAAGTTGTAAGAAAAATATTATACTACAAATAATAAAAAATTAAAAAAGTTAATTAAAAATAAAAGTTTCAATGTATTAATCACTTTAAAAACTTTAAGATAATTTTAAGTTATATAGTTTGTAAAAATAGAAGAAATATAACACGTAAAAAGAAAAAGAAAAATAAAATTAACATAAGATATACTAAAAGTATAAAACAACGAAGACGTATGAATTATTTTTTATAATAAAAAATAATAATACAATAAGTACTCACTTTTATTTTGTAAAATTTTTTTAGTAAAAAGCACAAAAAAAAATTTAAATGTAAATTTTAAATAATATAATATTAAAAATAGTTTTAATAATTATTATTAACAATTACAAAGTAAATATTAAAAAACTAAAAAACTAATAAAGAAGTAGTAATAAAAAAATACTTATACAATATTGATAAGCAAGAGGATTAAGCGATACTTTCTTACTCAAAGAATTATTTAAAAATTGTAGTGAAATTTACTTGTAACAATATTAGAAGTTATTAAGTTTTATAAGTATTGCCTGTAAAAGTTTTGTGAGAAGAAAAGACAGTTGGTTGCTTCTGAAAAGCACGTTCAGTTTGCTCAGACATTAATAAGTTTCTGTTTATTAAAATTAACTAATCTGAAACCATATAAAAAATAAACTCTCAGAAAAATAATAATCAACAGAAAATTAATAAAAAGATATATGTACACAATATGAGAAAATATACTTAAATGACGGTCTCATAGATAATAAATTCGGCATAAACATGATTGACGAAACGAGGAATTATAAAAAAATCATTGACCGACTATATCTTTATTAACAAAATACTAAAAAAAATTAAATTTATTAAGCATAAATTATGTAAGAGAACAGGAACAATTATAACGCGAGAATGAAAAATTATAATTTAACCGTAAAAGCTAAGTAAAACTTTATTTAAAGCTTAAAGATTCTAAACAATTTATTGAAAGTAAAAAATATTATATGTAAAATAATATGTTAACTAAAAAGTTTAATAAACAGTGTCAAAAGAAAAGTTATATGCATATATAAGTATACAAAACACTTATACATCCGCCAAGCTTATACCTAAAAAAAAAAGTAACGGCGACAACGAGCAGCCAAAAAATTGTTTTTAAAGGTATTTGGCTTCTCCGTTTTTTCCACGTGCCCGTTTCCTCACGAAGCTATTACTATTTACAAAATTTTTATTATAACTGAGTAGCTATGAAGCTTTGATTTATAGCAGGCACAAGTTAAAAATAAGTAGCGTTTGAGATTTATTTGTTAAGTTAATTTGCTGTTTCCTGCAACAAGAGATTCCGTTAAATAAATATTGTTAATTATATTGATCCTTTAGTAACAGTTATTTTTAGTCATTTTAGTATAGGAATTAACACAAAGAGTTCATATGATCACACTTATCCTGTTATAACCACAATATATTTACATAACTTCTTAAATTTTTGTGTGAAAGTTGGGCTTCAATATGAAAACTTTTGTTTAAGTTATATATTAGTAAATTCTTTGTTTTTTAACAAACCGCTAACTAACCCTTTTTTTTAAAAATTTGATAAATTTGTTACGGCAAACTCATAACGCAACTTTGCGAATTATCTGAAACTTTCTAATCAAATTTTTATAAAATTAGATCAGGCCTCCTTATACTTTCTGAATTTTTATTAATTTCGCAATATTCAGGTTTAATTTTATTAAAAGTCTGAGACGAATTTTTAAATTAAATAAATAGCAGTGACTCAAAACTATCTAATAAAGTAAAGTGTAATACAAAAATGAAACTGGGACTTAAAAGTTACCTCAACCTCTAGTATAATTAATTTTTATTATGAAATATATCGCTATATAATAATAAATTTTGGTGTTATGAATACAAAAAAAAGTAAAAAATCTAAATTCCTTTTTGAAGAAGTTTTTTATTACGAAGTTATGCAACAGACTCTAGGGATCCACAAGGAGTAAAGCTTAAGTGTTAATTAAATAGAGTTGCGTTAGCTATCAAAGATTATCTGTTAAAAAATTATTTTTATTAATTATCAAATAAAAAGCCGTAAGAAAGCATTCTTAATATTAGACAACCGAACTTAAAACAAAAGTAACTACGTAAATACCTTAACTCTACAAATTAATTTCTGTAATATAAGAATTTTAGAATATTATTGTTTCAGTATCGTTACTTTTATATAAACTCTTAACAATTAAAAAATGAGTTAAAAAAAATTAAATAACAATAGAATCCCTCAAGTATTAATCATTTGAGTCGGGCAAACCACAAAAGGTTATAGGACAAAGATTATTATCTTCACGAAAAAAGAGTACGCCAGAGTAACTCAAGTTTTGCCATCAATCACCAAAAATCACTTACCGCTCAATTTTTAATAATTAAAGCAACAGGTGGAAACCATTTTTTCTTGTTGTAGACCGACAACTCAAAAAGATATAAATAGCAAGCAGAGAACCCTCCTCTGTCAGCGTGGGTAGTCCCTCCATATCGCGAACAAATCTTTCGCCTTTTACTAAGGATTTCCGTGTGGGGGGGCTGCGTGCCCTTAAGACACTAATTTTTTGTGGTCCCCTCCTTACCGCTTCCGGTGGGGGGGCCGGAAAACACATGCAAAGCTTAAAGAGGAAGTGGAGAAGGGGGGTGGGGGAGGGGGTGCTACACGTACCGTAACCCCTCTCCACTGTTGGGGGTGAAGTGCCTGTGGAGTTAGAAGGGGGGGCCATGCTCGCGGAAGTGCATAGTAACGCGACAGTTGCTGACGATACCGCCACTCCCTAAGGAAGGGGGGGTTCGTTCACGCTTGGGAAGCTATATATATTATATATACAGCTGCAACGTGAGAAGGTTTTATGGGCGAAGATCGCCTTCAATGTACCACGCCACCACCGCATCACATCACAACAACACACAACAACACAACAACCCTTTGGGAGGGGGATAGCTACTTGGCCATGTTCTTTATATTACTATTATTAGCATAACACTGCCTTTCCGATGCTCATCATCTTTTTTACTTTATTTTCGTCGTTTTAAATATTTATACTACTTAATGTAAAATATAAATATAGATTATATTTATAGTTACGTAAGATATATTTTATTTATTGTTATAATATATATTTATAATCCGCGCTGTGGGTCCCTACTTAAACTTGAAGAGTATAATATTATTTTTCTTTTTCTGGCACGAAGCTTTGGGGGGGGAGAGGGAGGGGGCCTACCTTACTGCCCTATACCTCATATTATATCTCATATAAACATAACGGCGATGTACTTTGAACTTGATTTGAAGCGTTTTCAGATCCAGTTTTTTCTGTATTTGTTAATGTTAATGTTGTTGATTTTACCGGTATCAAATCTTTGAATGGTATATATTTATAAACTATTGTTATATAAATAATATATATAGTACTTTGTTGTACAAATCAATTCATAGCCGTTTATGATAAAGCCAAAGAGCCAATGTCACATTCCCTACGCCTTTTGGAGTTTCGCACAAAGCGAGGTGCGCACTGTAAACGGATTAAGGAGGAATTATAATAATTTTGATTAGAAGAGTTATTTTTCTACGATATCCAGCAATAAATTTTTTTAATAAATTAGGTAAGTAGTGACCTTTATAAAGCACCCATGACAAGCGAGAAATTTCACTAGCTTGCCTTGGGGACCCGTAACACAGACATAAAGCATTTTACTATTTATCCAAAAAACGTTTTAAGAAACTTTTTTTATTGTAAAATACTCTTTAGTGCGGATCACACAGGCGGTAGCTACACGGGCCTAGTATAAAGTTGTAAGGTAATAGATAGTTAAAGACGCTAGTATAGAAATTTTAATGTATCTATCAAATATTTAATAGCTAAATATAAGTTTCAAAAAACTCAAAGTAGATAACCCACTTAATTATAAAAGAATTATGATTGCCACTGTTAACTATATATATTTTGTTTATTTTTAACGCATAAAAAACGAGTCAGAAGTGCATTAAATTCTTTTTAATGGTAAAAATCCGGATAAATAGAAAATATTAATAATTTTTAAATACAAATTATTTATTGTTAAAGTGAAACGTACGGTTTTTCTGTTGTATATAAGCTGATGAATAAAAGTAAAAATATTTGATTAACAAAAAGTTTTTTAATATATGTATGGTAAAGTGATTCCTATATTTTATAAAAATGGTTCTCCTCACTAGATAAATATAGTAGTTGTCATTAGAAACAAAGAAAAGTTTCAACATATATTTTCGAATGCAAAAACAATTTATTTATTTCCAAAGTTAATGGGACAAATATCTAATAAAGAAAACTATAAGTAGTTATAGGTAGCTATTCTTATTAAGTTTTTTATTTAAATAGTATGTTAAATTATTAAATAGTTCATTCTAAATTCAGCTTTTTCACCAAATCATTAAACTGGCGCTGGATAATGAAGTAAAAAGTAAATAGTATTAAAGTGATATTAAGTTTAAAAGTACCCCCTTATTATACCAGTCGAAAAATTTATCAGTTTGTGTGACAAATATTTGTTCCGCAATTAGACTCGTCGCGACAAAGAAACATAAAAAAGTGGAGTTTCTTCTCAATATAGAAGTGTAAAAGCTCATGGTGAAAAAGAAAATCCTGTTTATAAGAAAGTAGTTAATAGTATATAAAATTGGCGTTTTTTTTAAAATTTACTATAAATTTTTTAAATTTATTATATTAGAGGATTTAAATAGAACTCTTACTCTGCAAAGAAGAATTAACAAAAAACTGCAAAAGATAAATACTAAGCCGGACAACCGCAGAAGGCTCGAAACAAATATGTAAGTGTGAAAAACCTCGACTCTACGAGAGGGCAGAATTTGTGACACTTAAGACCAACTTCTATATATATCAACACCGGTGCGTCAGCTTCTTGTAAGCAGCCAAGCCGCTATATGCTGTGCAGCTTAGTAGTGTCTGTACACTTCTGCGAGGCATTACTAATATCCTAGTTCGGAATTCAATAGGGCCGTATTACAAGCCAGCATTTCCTCTGTCTAATATAATAGGTGTAAGTTCAGTTTTAAGAAGGCGACAGGGCACCGTCCCTCATTGTATTAGAAAATACTTTTAACCAGACGCATCATAGCTCTTGCTTAATTATTATTAAATGATCTTTTATAACTACATTATTACTTAAAATTAATTATTACACTTTGTCTAGAACAATTAAGGCTATTTAACTTGGTTGAATATACTTTTTTTTTATATTATATAACTAATTTGCTAAACACCAGTGCAAAGCACTAAATAATAATTTGAAATTCAAGTAACAATATTAAATAGGTATGAATATTTCATTTAGTTTTAATATAATTCCATTTACGACGACTGAAATATGAGAATTTTCTAAAGTTATGAATTTTGCCGGGCTGCAACTTTCATAGTATACTTTATTTAAAGAATGACAATTTTGAAGTAAACCTTATAAATAAAAATATAAAATATTAAAACCTAAATCAACAATTTATTTTTATCATTTTATTATAGAAGCCCCTTTTATTGCACTCAGAGAAGATCGAACAAAGAGATTTTGGTAATTATTAGGTATATTTGCAGTAACACCCGATGAAGGGTACTATTTTAATTATGTAAATTCAGCTTTCCACTGATGTAGAGTATACCTTAGACAATAAGTTTACACATTACGTTAAAATTTTTCTAGTATAAAAAATAATCATACTTAGATAGTATTACTTCATACATGGGCTTTAAAATGAAAATTATAAAAATTTTAATTAACAGTTAGGAATTTGTTAGGTAAGCTACACAATTTTCAGTAAGGGTTTTGAATATACTACGTAGAATCGTTAACTTATCAAATATTATTTACTCATGTTTTATAAAGTCAAAATTAGCATAATAACTTTATAAACTGTAGCGATTTACTAAACGACAAATGGTTTTATCCCAAAAAGTTGCTTATTAACTAAATAAATCCTTTATAAAAAGCTAGCAGAAATCTTCGCATTAATAAGTCAATGCATCCTCGCTCCGCAACTAATTGTAAATTAAAATATAAGTTTTTTACTAGATAATTTTTTTGTAAAACATCAAGTGCTTATATAAAATATGTCATGTTTTGTTATTATCCTATTTTCAAAGGAATTTGCAAGAATTATTTTTTTAAAGAAAAAAATTAGGTATTAGGAGAGCTGGAAAGTCATGAAAAATAGCATTAGTATTAGTGTTAGTATTTTTAGTTAGTAAATATAGAATAAAAATAGTGGGAAGTGTGCTGTATTTTAGAAAATACCGCTTCAATCATATATATTTAAATAGGAAATTTAAAATATTTATAATCAATATGATTCAAATTTTTTTTTCATATTGTTAATTTGCAATCAGTAGTGCTTCTCAAAAATTAAAAACTAAAGAAAAAAAAATAATCAATCTTAGGTAAATAACTTTTTTTTTAATACGTAAAACACAATTAGTTGAATTGCTACTTTCCATCCATAACATTATTATTAGTAGGACTAACTTTTCTTCACCTTGTATAATTATGCTTAAACCCACTATTGTAAGGCTCTCTTCGACTATTGGTGCATTTACTTTAGCAATACATATTTGTAATGCAAGCTGCCTTCTAAATTATAATTTTATAAAAAAAAAATATATAAATCAAATACTTTAGTTACTATAAATTTTTAAGGCGTACTTAAAGGTTTTCTTATGAATAAATATATTGATATTGAAAATTTGAGAGTTTGTTAGAAAAAGAATTTTTTTTAAGTTTTACTGATTAACAGTTAACTAGACTTTGTTACTATTACAGTTTCTAAGACGAGAATCTATTATAAACTGCGATTAATAGCGGATTTCAAAAAATTGATTACTTAAGTTTACTTTTTTTTAAGCACTATATAAAATCAAACTGTAAATTTTATTTATTAAAAAGGTTTTTACTCATCTGGTTTAAAAATATTAATATACATACAAATGGTTTATTCAAATTTATTCTCCACGCGTGTTTTAATTGCGTTGGTAAGCTACTATATAAGCCTTTACAAAATTGTAGACTTTCGTCGGCACGTGATTTTCTAAACAACTGACGGTTCGTTTGGTGGTTATCGTATTTTATTATAACTTATAAGTATTAATTGTTGTTTTGTTTAACTGATTATCAACAAAAGTTTAACTGGCATTTGTATGAAAACTATTAAATGTTTTTGTAATATTTTATGAATTCACCATTCGCTTTATTTTTTTATATTTTTCAATTTTAATCAAATATAATTCTAGAACGTTAGGAATGAGGGATAAATGGCGTAAAAAGAGAATGAGACGTTTAAAACGAGCTCGAAGAAAAATGAGAAAAAGAGCAAATTAGAATCTTTTACACGCTACAACCTTGAATTCTTTTAGGGAAGCCATTTTTTACCTTGAGACTTCATAACCTTATTTTTATAATAATAAACTAGAATTAAGTAATTTTCAAAAAACCCTTTATTAATTGACATTTACATTTATTTTTTTTTACTGAAAAAGTTAAAATTTTTTTTAATTCAGCCCGTTTTTTAATTTTATTGTATTATTAATTGTAGCGTATTATAATTTTTTTGGAATCTTTGACTTTTATTAGTAAATGTTTATTAGAAAAGTTTTATGATTTTGCGCGACTGCCTTATTTATTACTTATAACGTAAAAGAGTGCTTGTCATAATTTAAATTTTTTAACGAAATTTATACCTGTAGTCAGTTAATTTCTAAATTATTTCTAAACAAAAATTCGCGACTTATACCTTTTCATATACTTTATAAGATAAATCATGAAACTTTTATAAATAAATACTAAAAATTATTTTTTAAAAAAAAAATAATAATAAACGAAAAAAAGTAAAGGATGAGTTATTTTAAATTTTTTATTTTTTTTTGGCAAAAGTTATTACTGAGCTGCTTTAAGTACAATTTTCAGTTCAATCGCTCTTTTTTCTTTATAATGATTTATTATAAACAGCTTAGGTGGATCGTTTTTCCAATCTCCATCTTCATTTATTAAAATTTTTAAAAAGCATATAAAACTAAAATGAATTTCAGTAGTACCCTGATCTATGGGAAATGCCAATGTAGTTTTAAAAAATGAAGAGATCCAATTTTTACTTTGCTTTTGCTATAGAATTTGTTACTCTGTAGAAATATTTTAGGCTTCTAATTTACTAAAGCTTACCAGCTTTGAAATTTTATTTAAATTTTGGACTGCAGCGGCAACATATTTTTTGCTTGTGCTTGCAACAACGGAGGCCCCTTAAATTTTACGTTATAGTTAAAATTTAAATTCGAGTTCCAGTGATTTTTTTTAATTTTAATCCTTTCACAATTTTTTAAATTAATTATTGCACCTTTGGCGTTCGCGATTTAAGTTATATAATCTTATAATTAAGTGAACTTACTGAAATAAACTTTAATTTGTTGTCTGCTTAATTTAAATTTAAAAGAATAATTTAAATTTTGTTTTTTGTTTGTAGTTCAGTGAAGAATTTATGTTTATATAGCAAGTAATTCATTATGCTTATAAATAAGTAGAAGAATTATATAATGCGTACTTTTAAAACAATTTATATGGAATTTTACTATAATAAGTAGGAAATTACCTTGAGTTTCGCAGATTACGAACCACGATCCTGATAAAAAAAAATTTTTAGCATAAAATTAATTTATTAGGTTTTATAAAATTTATAAAGAAGTCGACTTGTAAGAAAATATAATTGACTTGTTATACTAATAAAGGTTTATTGGATTTATAAATAAAGTAACGTAGTGTATCAATATTAGTATTTTTTTTTGTTAATGTACATTTGGAATTCTTTCTACTCGTTTAATTTTAATAAATTTTAAATATTAATTTTATTTTTTGTTGAATCATTTATAGCATTTGAGACCTTATTTCAAGTAAAACTATTCTATGGTTATAGTTTTAAAAGCTAATAACTAATTTTATAAATATTTAACGGTAGACTTTAGTTAACTTTAAGGCGGTCTTTAGCAAGATGAAATATTTTTAATCTATATTACAAAAAGTACTACAGTATAGCCATCTTATGCCCTTAAGCTTTTTGGTAAGTTACGATCTATTTTTTGAAATACTAAAAGAATTGCACAAAATTTTATTAAAACTTCTGTTTTATTTTTTTTAGATTATAACTGCTTAAAAAGTTGTGCCTTTTTGAAATAATAAATTTATATCTAAAATTTTACTATATGTAGTTCTTAAGTATACAGGAGTTATATTAAAGTAGAACGAAATTTTTTTATTAAACTACTTTCGAGTTGCACCCTAAAGATTATAGAGCAAGTACGTTTCATCAAAGTTTTATGCTCTAGCGCGAGCGTATTATTAAAATTTTCCAAATTAATAACCTAGCTTTTACTATATATATTTAAGCAACTTTTATGCTTTACCTTCTTGCCTTAAAAAAAAATTGCAATATTGTGGAGTGTTTATGATAAATAAAGAAATCCTCCCCTCTAATCTTTGAAGACCATAACTTTAATACTACAACAGTAAGAGGAAAATTACTCAGTAAATCGCAAAAGATTTAAATTTTCTTCCTTTGTTGTTTTGTTCTACTTGAGTAGGACTATAGTTCGCTAGCATTTCTAGAATGCTAATGAGTTAGTTTCGTTCTACGCAAGGTGCACTTTACAATCAGCCTTGAGAGTAGAATTAATCAACACGATGTCTTTGATAGCCTAAAAGATGGTTGGTGCTGGATTATCCACCATCTTGACATAGACATATCTAGAGATATAAAGATGTACAGTCATTCCTATGCTATCATTGAGTGGGCCTTAACCCCTTATAGGTTACTGGTTTCTATGTTTGCCACTTACCGCCTAGGTTCAATTTGCAGAGTGGTTCTATGAAAGTTAACCCTAGGCGGCAGCCTCGGTCTCTGCAACAATCTCTAGTAAGTTTGAGTACCATGCTCTAATGAATCAGGTAGCAACAAACAAAACAATAACAATAAACTTTTGCAACCGAACTAGGGCGCACGTATAGATATAAAATGGTAAACCATTGGATGAAATAACGGTAAAACTAACGTTTTCTTTCGGTTAGTAAAAAGATAAACTGTTATTAACTTAAAATTATTTAGTTGATAATTCTTTACAGTTAAATAGTTTTAGTGTGTAATACAAAAAAAAAGTTATAATCCTTAAATAAAAGTTCTGTATACCTGTAAATTTGAATTCGGAAGTAAGATCTTTTACTACGTTAAAAATTTCACGTTTTTCTACAATTTCATAAGAGCCCGCTTCAAAGATAATCTAAAATGATGGCGTTATAACTAAAAATTTTGTTAATTATTAAAATATCTTTTCGCATAACTAAAATTTTATAAAAGTTTGTATCGGTTTGTTTTTCACTCAGGCAGTTTTTGACAGCCCGCATGTTATTAAACTTTAATTACTTATGAAAGTGTGCTTTATCCCGTCAAAGAAATTCTAAAAAAGTTGCTTTGCAAATTAAAATTTTACAATTATAAATTCCTGTTCGTATAACAAACTGAAATAACAAAAACTTAATTGTTTATATCGGCTTGTATCAGCCCCAGCAGGTATTTATAAACAGTTTTAGAAGATTAAAAATTCTATTTATATATAAAAGCCAGAAATTATTAACTTAAATCAGTTTCTTAACGTGGGCGTTGTTTAGCATTCGTTTATGATTAATGTGATATGAAATAGTTCGCAAAAAGTAGAGTAAAGAGGGCTTAAACAGATAAAACCTCGAAACTTTACCGCCCCTTGTAGGTAAATGTTAAAAGCCCAAATTTGTAGATAATAAAAATTAAGTATATTTGCTACTGTATTTAAAAATTTATGAGACTACCAAAGTTTTCAAAGTCAAAGATAATTTGAAGTAAATGACTTTAATTACTTTTAATTTTAAATTTCATATTTTTAGATACCATTTCACACAACATTTAATATAACTAAACTAATTTATTAATATTGATTAGGCTGTGCTCCAGTTTGCTAATATAAATCGTTCTAAAATAATTAATTCTCGCGTTAACCCATTTGAAAAAAAAATCTCGCTTGAGTACTTTTGTTAGTCTAACCTTAATATTGACTTCAATTACTTTTTTATTTAAAGCGAAGTAGGTGTTAAACTATACAAAAATAGTTATAACTATATTGTAACACTTAAAGTAAGGAGGCAGAGGGCCAAAACTATAGTGAATTAGATTAAAAATTTAAAAGCTTGCGATGCTCAAGGGTAATATCAAGATCTAATTTTATAATAATAAAAAAAGTTTTTTCTTACACTGAAATTTTTTATAGCACTTTTATAATAATTTAAACTCTCAATCGGTTGTAAATGGTAAAACTTAAGAAGTTTGTTATTAGTGAGATACGTATATAAAGAAAATTAAGATAGTCTTTAAATGTACTTTTTTCCCTTAAAACATTAAAATATAATATCTTTTATGAGGAATAGATGAATATAAGCCAACGTTGGTAATAATTTGTGAATTAATGTTTAAAGTTGGATGGGCCAAATTTTATAAAGCACAAGGGAATTAAATAATTTTGTACAACATCAAAATAATTTTTACTTTTCACGTTGATAATTAAAATTTTCTTAGCAAAAAAATCTAATATAGAATTTTGTTTTTTCGAAAACCAGTTATAACCCGGGGCTACTAAATTTTTAAAAGCGTAACAATATCACGCGTTATATAAACGTAAAAAGATTAAAAACTTTATAAGTAAACATGGAGCTTACGTGGTCAACCTGATCCAACTGATTATTTTTTAAAGAAAAATTAAGAATACTTATTTTTCTGTTAGATTTACTATTTCCTATGAAGAAAATTAATAATATTTATCATTTCTTAATAAAAATATGTTACTGTGCTCACAGAAATAAATATTTGTTTTTTTTAAGTTATTATCTGCGCTCAAGTCTGAATCAAACCAACAGAGGGGCACTAGAGCAGTAGCGCCAATCAGTGAACTTTTTACATGGCCTGGCATATCGTCAGGTCCTTATATATTTTAGCATTGAGGCACGCGCGCCATAATATATGTATTTGAAGAAACCTTCACTAGTATGCTTGAACAAACTTCCGCTCCATTTTTCGGGCACCAATTCGTCCAAGGCAATATTTAAGTTGTGTGGGGAAAAACCTTCTGTTCCGGTCGGGCCGTTGACGGTAAGAGAGGCCGATGTGTGTTCTGTTTTAACAAAAAGTAAGCCTGTATTTTCGTTTTCCTTCTCTAGATTCCTTTTGCTAAAAGTATTCTTTATTTCATTAATGATTAAGTTTGATATATTGTAGACCTGATAATTATTATTTTCAGTAGATAAAATGAAAGTTAATTATAACCATGACTAGACTTGGAAACTTCAAAAATATATATACATATAGTAAACGCATACACAGTGTTATTTATTAAAAAAAAGCTCTCAAGATACACTTTTCTATATTACTGGTCCGAAAATATTTTTGTACTACTTTAGAATTTATAGTAATGGACTTATATTAAGTTTTCATTTGGTAACATCTGTAGCTACGCTCCTTTAAAATCTACCAAAAGCAGATTTAGCAATTTATAAGCTAATAATTTATAGGGGTCGTTGATATAATGCAAAAACAAACGAATTTTAAAACTTAAACTTTTAAAATTTAGTAGTTAAATTTATAAAGTTAGTAACTTAGTAACTACGTTAATTAAATCTAGTTGCAATTACTTACTCCACTATGAGGAGGTTTAAATACGACAGTAAAAAGATCACGCTCAGTGGCGGCGTGCGGAATAATTATTAATTCAACATCGCCAGATTGCTGTCCCCAATTACACAGATAAATGCCTATTTTTTAAAATTAAATTGATAATTAAGAATATTGAAGAAATATAAAGGTGTATCAGTTATTTTATATAAGTAAGGCGACGCCTTCGAAACCTTGCCAGGTCCCTAGCACGAAGGAACCCTTATAAAAAGGTATCAACAAGCTTGGTCCCATATAAACGGAGGCAGCCTTTTTTTAATAGCCAAAAGATTATAAATAAGAGATTTGTTTATAAAGGTAAAAACTTTTTATTTAATAAACTTCATAACAATCTGGAGAAAGGGCCTCAACAGCGGTCTTCATATCAGTTAAAACCTTCATTGAAATTATATATTTAGCTCTACAAAGTTTTACGTGCTGCTCATTTTTTTTGAAACGTAAGCAATTACAGTTGAATCGGCGTTTTCATTAAATGTTAAGGATATAGCTCTTCTGATACTTGTAGTGTTTTCTTCCCGCAAATTAGGTAAAGGCCGAGAATATAAAACACATAATCCCGTTTTTTCATTAAGATTTTTATTCATAAAAAGCACTTTACTTACTATATTTGTTATTAGCTGACAGCCGAACTTCGCTTGTATGGTAATTTTTTGTGCTCTCATCTTTAATACGACGTAAAAGAAGGTAGCTACTCAAGGGTCATGAACAATAGAAAAATAACAAAATCATAGATAACAAGCTTAACTATAAGAATTCCTGGGGTTGGGGAGGGGGGGGTGGGGAGGGCTAGTCAAAAGCACTTTAGCCGGTCCGATCTGAGGTCAAATCTCTGGGAATTAAATTTAACCTGTGGTGGCTGTAATAAGTAAATCCACGTGATCAATTGAAAAGGCGGGAACAATAACAATTTTTGCAAGTGTTGGTGCCGTCTGAGGGCTCAGCCCTAAATCAATGACTTAAGGGAGGCATGAGCGGTGTGCTCTATCCTTTCTTTTGAATCGTTGTAGTTGTAGCCATCGTTTGTAATGTGGTAGGCGTTGTACTATTAAAGTGGCTCAAATACATTATACAGCACTTTCTAATTTTAACTAATCTATTTTCTTTTCTTTGTTATATTATTGAGCATATTATTCTCAATCTGTATATAATATATTAGTTCCTGAAGTTATCAAGGCTGTCGGAACAACAAAAGCCTTTTATTAAAAAAACTTATATTTTTTCTTAGTTATTCTTCCTCAAATTACTGCTGTATATATATAAGTTTACAATATTTTCTATTTATTTTTATTAACCAAGTAAACTTTTATTTTTTTCTAAATTAGTCTTCTTCCTACTACTGTACATAAAGGATATTTTCATGCTGTTTCAAAAAAATTCATGTAATTGTTTTTTATTATAAAATTATAGACTTAAAAAACATGTAAACTTTTAATTTTTTTTTAATTAATCTTCTTCGCTACTGCTGTATTCGAGGGTTAACGGAAGCGCGCTTTTTACTATAATACCATTTTCTTCCGTACTATTAGTTTCACACTTTTTAAGCTGCTCATTCCTATAATATTAAAGTTAAATAAAACGTAAAAGTTAATATAATTTATAATATTATAATAACAATAAATAGTATATTTTTAATATGATAGTAAAACTATATTAGCTGAAACAACAATTTTTTTTTGACATTACAGTTTACATAAATAATAATAAAAGAAAAGTGAACTGTTATTATATATAAACTTTTCGTTAAAAAAAAGTTATAAATAATTTTTATCTCCTTTTTTATTTTATGCGTATTCATTATTAGTATTGACATATTTTATTTATTATTAATATATAATTTATTAATCATTGTAATATATTTTATGCAGGCGCGCTAGAAAAAAATTGATATTTATATTTATTTAATACTGCTGTGCAAAAAGCACTGCATTATATTAGATAAAATATTTAAATGTTTAAAAAATTTAAAATGAACTATAATTTATATAAGGCGAGTTACGCGTGCAGCATAAATTTATGAAAATTTTATTTTGCAAATTTTATTATTTTTATTTTTTTCTGGTTTATAATTATTATTTTATTATTACTTTATAAATTTAGGCTTTTAGTAAGTTTTTTATTATAAAAATACATATTATCTATTATTATTTACTTTTGCTCTCCTTTTTTTTATTTCAGTATTCAATGCGATTAAAATTTTTTATTAATTTTAGTATTTTTTAATACAAAAAATGAAAGTAAAATTTTGTAATAAGACTAAAAAGTTTGTTAAATATTTTTATTTCCACAAAAGTTTTATAGATTCTGATAATTTCAGTAAATTTTTTTAGTAGGTAGTGCAAATTTGTTTAAACTAAAAGTTTTATAAATAACTAAAAATTTAGGGAAATTTGTTTTATATAAATAATCAGTAAAAAAATCGTTGAGAAAATTTGTTTCAAAATTTTAGTGAATTAATTTTTATATAAAAACATAAAGATTTGTTGAGACACCAAAATTTAATAAAAATTAATTTTTATTACAATATTTTAATATTCGTTACACTTAAAATATAATAATTATTTGTGAAAGGCCACAACTATTCATTATGTTTGGTCAACTTAAAAATCTGAAATTATCAAATTATTAAGTTTTTTGTAAAAGAAAATTTTTAGAAAAATGGATAACCAATAAAGTTGCTGTAAAAAATTCAATAATTTTAGTGAACTTCAATTATTATAAAAATTAACATTTTAGAAACTTTTTTTGCTTTTACTAAACCCGAAAGTTTCATTTTCCTTTTCTGTTGCTTTTGAATTTTCTTGACTTCAATATTTTTCTCAGAAGCAAAAATATTAAAAGTTGTGGCCTTTTGTTCTTCTTTTTCTGCTCTAAAAATAATCATAAAAGGATTTATATATAAATAGTAATAATATAATAAAGAAACAGGATTTAAATACATAAATAAATAATAAATAATAATAATAAAAAGAAAAATAAATTTTAGTAGTAATAATAATAATAATAATAAAAATTAATAGTAAATAAATGAACAAAAATAATATGTATAAAAAAATTAAATAACGATAATAATAATCATAAAAAGACTAAACTAATAAAAAAATGAAATAAATAATAATAAATATATAAAAAAAGAAAATTAATTAGTAAATATAAAAATAAATAATAATTACATGAAATAAATGAATAAATAAATAATATAATATCTAATAATAAATAAAGAAAAAATATAAATTAATATTAAAAAAATAAGTAATAGTAACAGTAAAAAGAAAAAATTATATACAGATAAATAAAGGCTGGAGTTAACTCTGATAAAAAACGTGCTCATACCACGTGTATAAGCACGCGACCATACCACGTGACTGTCTCATCGCACGTGTTTTTTTGTGTTTGTCCTGCGATGTATTTCTTTCCTGAAGGTATATATACCCTTCCACTTCGGGACAATAAAACGAGCACCCCTCCTCTTTTTCTCCGTCAATAAAAAAAATTAAATAGATAATAAGAAGAAAATAAAAATAAAAAAAATAAATAATAATAGTAAAAAGAAATAAAAAGTAAAAAATTAATAATAATAATAATAAAGAGAAAAAATAAAAATTAATAAGTTAAAAAATAAATGATAGTAGTAATAGAAGAAAAAATAAACAATAAATAATAATAATAAACAGAAAACGATAAAGAATGCAAAGTGTAAAACATTATTTTTCGGAATTCTTGAATTTTTTCCATTTCTTCTTTTTTACGTTCTTTATTTTCCTTTAAATGTTTGTTGTCTAATAATAATAATAAACATAGTAGTAATAATAATGATAATAATTTGTACGTTCATTTTCTAAAAACTCGAGTTCATCTTCTTCAAGGCCACGAAATTGATTTTCTATAATAAAAGTTCAATAATAATAATAATAAACTTAATAATAGTAAATTTACTATATATAACGTTATTGACTTTGAAATTTCTCAATATTACTTTAAAGTTTTATGAATAACAAATTTTTATATAACTTTAGATTATTTATAATATACATATAAACAGTTATAAGAAATTTACTTTTACTATCAAAAAGTAATAATAATAAATTAAATATTTTAATATATAAATAAAAGTTTTAGAGATTATCTGAAGTAAATATATAATTTTATTTTAACTTTTATATTTTTTACAAAAAAATTTTTTATAGTTTACAATAAAAATTTTCGTTAAAATTTTTATAACTTTTATAATATTTTTTTAGATTTATTTAATGATTATAAGTATTTGAATTTTTATTTTTTAGCTTTATAAATTAAAATAAAAATTATTCCCAAACCCTTTTGCAATTAAAAAGCTATTAAAGTTTGGTCATATATTATGAAATGGTACAAATACTACCTATTTAGTAATTTTTAGTGGAGACATAATAAGTTAAGCTACTCAGCGCCATTAGCTTAATTTGGCCAACCAACATTAATTATAAGTGCTATAAGCAAAGTATATCGGTCAATATGATTCCGTAGAAAATAAAAACTTTTCATATAATCCAATTAAAAATATAATTTTTTCTCAACTTTGTTATAATTGGTTAGCAAAAATAAAAAATATCCAATCAAGTAAATGAGGAAGAAAAAAATAGTTTGTTTGCAAAAGTTCAATACTAAAACGAAGTTTTTCTTCGAATTCTTGTTGTTTTTTAACGCGTTGCTCTTGCAGTCTCGCATATAATGTTCGTCCGTCATAGATTTCCTCTTTGACTATTTAGATATTAATTTTTATTGATATTAATATGAGATACTAAAAAAAATTAATAATTAAAGGTTAAGAATTTGAAACATATAAATATAAGTATGATCAAGTTAAAAAGTAAAAGTACTGGCGGATCAGTATTAAATAATAAAAGGTTTACTATGTTAATAATTTTATAGGCATACATGAGTGACCCATTAGATAGTGATAAATATAATATTTTTTTTAAGAATTTATCATAATAGAGAAAATTTAAGAAAGCAGATTTTCATATATATTACATAATAATTATCCGTTAGTAGTAATTTATTGCTGTTAGTCAATTATTTAAAATAGAACTAGTTAATTAGATTATTCACAACTAAATTTTTCAGTATATTATTAACATATATATATAACTGATAATGAAGTAATATTATATTAAATTTATTTGATCCGAGATGTAAAAAAAAACGAGAAAATGGCATATCTGCTTTGTTTAGTATAAAATAATTTTTAACTATAATTTTGTTCAAAGTATAAACAAAAAGTATTATGAGTAAAAATTTAGTTAATTGGCTAACTAAAAATTTTTTATTGACCCTCAAAAGGAAATATATATCCTTATTATTTAGACATAAGCGAATGGAAACTACGTAAAAATAAATGTGACTAATTAAACGTATATTGGATTTTTTAATAAATTACCTTGGATAACTCAGTTTTATAAAAATATTAAATATAAAGATTTTAAATTTTTATTAATAAACCAAATTAACTATGCTGTATATAATAGCCAATCAAAATTATATAATTTTAATATATTTTAAATTATTAAATTCTAGCGAATGGCAAATATTTATTATTTTTTTATTTTTTTTTTAAAATCAACTTTTCCATTATTTTTAGTTGAATTTAAAAAAAAATAAAAATTTAATATTTACTTTTTCCGCGAATTATTTACAAACTTTTATAATATATATTTTTTGTAAATAATAAGAAAAAATGAAATT